CTCTTTTTAAAAAAAAAAAAAAAAAAAAAAAGAATGAACACAAGTTCTTTTTAACTTTGAGATTAAGTTGTGTTGCCCCCAACCCGCTCCCCACCCCCACCCAGGGCCTGTTCGATTAACCAAAACAATTTCCATTTTGGTTTTTGGGCACAGCTTCAAGAGTGGGATAGGAGGGGCTGCTGGCTTCCTCCAGTAGCATCTTGGTGACACAAAGAACAGTCTTGCCAGGCGTTGGTGGCACACGCCTTTAATCCCAGCACTTGGGAGGCAGAAGCAGGTGGATCTCTGTGAGTTCGAGACCACCTTGGTCTACAAGACCACCCTGGTCTACAAGAGCGAGTGCCAGGATAGCCTCCAAAGCCACAGAGTAACCCTGTCTGAAAAAAAAAAAAAAAAAAAAAAAAAAAAAAAAAGAGCAGTTTCTTGCTGGCAGCTCTGCTGCATGTCACAGACTCCCTGAAAGTCGGGCTTTTATAATGCCTCTAGCAAAGGGCACACAGCCTGACTGCCAGGATTGCGCTGCACGTACACCACAAGAAATGACCACCAGAGGGCGCCTGGCTCGAGACAACGAGTTCGGGAGGTCGTGCCAGGTACCGAGTGCAGCTGGGGACGCCTGGAACTGAAGGGAACTCCTGGGCCCGCCGTGGCGAGCCCATTGCACATGTGGGCTGTGGATGAGCCTCCCAGTTCTCAGATGGATTCATCCAGGGGACGTTGCCTTGGTTTTCTCATTCTCGGGTTCTTTGTATCCTTTATCCATTAACACACTCAGTCATGGTCGAGGGGAGCTGGCCGCTATGGGGCGCTGGAGCAGCGCGCGAGGTCAGGCACTAAGGGAGCTGGCCATGACTTGGCGGATGGTGCTCGTTTGCTCAAGGGAGCCAATCGGAGGCTACTTCTAGTAGGCCCCTCAGTACCTAAGGTGCCTGAATCCCTGGCACCTTGTTGGCCAGTACATTCTGGCGTATGCAGATACTTTCTTGGATCTAGGACATTGCTCTTGGGTTAGCAATTTCCCTCATGGAACTGGAGTGCAGCACAGGTTTGCCAGCCACTAATGTCCTAGTAGGCTTCGTGACTCCATATCACACCTCCAATCAAAGTTCCTTTACACATTAATTCTCTCACACACCCCAGGCCTGAGTTATGCCTCCGGTCCAAGCTGCCCCCAAATGTCACCTGCTCAGCAGGGTTAGGGATAGGTGAGGTCAGGGCCAGAGTAGGGTGTAAGGGTGTACCAATATCTCAAAACTCCAGACACCGAGGGAGGGCTGAGTCAGGTCAGCCTGGTCTACAGAGAGACACTGTCTCAAAATAAGAGAAAAGAAAAAAGCCAACAGTCCACATGGGAGGCAGGAATGAAGAAACATCAGACCTTAAGGAATGAAGCTGGGAAGCTTTTATTTAATTGGAAAACAGGCACAACATTCAATACAAGCTCCACCTCTCTGTTCTTCCACCCAAGCCTCCATTTGCCGCTACCCAGGGTTGGGAGGGGACACTGGGTGATCTGGGAAGTGTAACTTAACCCCATGCCAATGCCTGCATCCTGTCTGGTTTGGAGATACAGGCAACTTTTTAACTTCCAAGCCTGGAGACTACTCCAGCAAGCCCCAGTACCAGGGGAAGGGGTGGATCTGTTCCTACCCTTTTAGGGCCCTGTGGACTTGCTCCCTGAATCACTGTCTCCAGTGGAAAGCTGCAGGCCTCGTGGGGCACCAAGCACACCGGGTAAGGTCAGTGCTTTGTTGCGGAAGCTGGGAGTTGGCATTTAACTGTCAGAGGGCCAAAAGCAGCTTCCTCTTGGGTAAGTGACTGCAGGGAAGGTGTAAGGGGTGGTGCCTGGGCCCCGCTGGGCTTATGAGAAGAAGGGCTGCAGGCCCTGAGGGGGTACAGCTGGCCTGCCTTTTATGCAAGGGTCAGCCACTCATCCATCTCTTCTCTGTGGGGACCATAAAAAATCTCAAGGTGTGGCCATGTGGAGTGGCATATCCAGATGAAGGTTAGAGGAAGGGCTATAGCAGATAGCTGGGCCTAGGCACAACTGATGGGCCCACTCCTCCCAGGTCCCTACTCCATCCAGGTCTCAAGTCATGACAGACATTCTGTAGGGGTGCCAGCTCCTAGGGGGCTGGACTCCTGTTCCTGCTGAACTGAGCCAGTGCACTGGAATCAACTGTTTCAGCTCAGTAGGCACAGGAGGCGGAGCCCAGGGAGAAGGAGGCAGAGCAGGGTGGGCAGCAGAGTCTGAGGAGATGGGGCCCGGGGGAGCGGAACTTAGCCACTGTGAACACGACTTGCTGCGGACCTTGCTCACAAGCAGCTAAGCCCTGCTCCTCAGGCCAGTTGTCATGCTGGGCTTCTCTCTCACCCAGTACCCAAGATAGGCAGTCATCCTTGGCAACTGGAGCCTCCAAGGCAGAGCACAAGGTCAGTTGGAAATCCCTGGCAATGTGATTTGTGACTGGCATCAAATCCCATCCCCAGGAACCCCAGCCGGCCAAGGCACAGTGAGGGGACAGCAAGCAGGATCGGAGTGTAGCACCTATGGAGAAAAAGAGAGGAGAGAGAATGAGATAGGGAATATTCCTGCTTGCTGGCTTATCATTTCTTATTACATGGCAGGGTCTCCCATGGCTGAGGCAGTTTCTGAACTGGTGATTCCCCTGCCTCCACCTCTGGAGTCTAGAATTACAGGCTCACCTCAACACCCTCAGTTTACATGGTGCTAGGGACAGAGCTACACCCCAGCCCTCCATCTGCTTCCAGGACAGAAGCCTCCCCACAGAGGAGCATCCTAGGGAGAACTGAGTGAGCCAGCTAGATGCTGGGCTCCCAGGAGTGCCTCTAGCCCCAGCCCTACAAAGTCGGAGGTGCCCAGGAAGCCCTACAGGCCAGACAGGACACAAAGCCCCCTCAGCGCTTTCCACTCAGTCTGTTTCTCTCTCCACCCACAGCCCTGAGCCCAAAGCAGGCCAAATGGGGCCAAGGAGAGAGGAAGCTGAGGGAGGTGGGTGGTTGAGGGAGGAAGTGACCTCACCCCAGCTGGCGCCACTTCCTAGAAGCCTGAAAGGCAGAGGGAACTCCAGTACCTCCTCCTCCTGCCTCCATAGCTGTCTCCTCCACAGCCTGCTCAGACACACCCCAGCCCCACCAACTCAGCACCCATGCTGGGAGAAGCAGGCCTCTCTACCCCAATAACTCAGCAAAGTTTAAGCATCTGCTCCTCAAGTTTCCCAGAGGCCTTCCAAGCCTCAGTTTCCCCATCTGTAAAGTAGACCAAGAATAATTGTGGTTGGTGGCTCAAGTTTATCTCAGCATTGGGGAGACTGAGGCGGGAGAGTTGTCAAGAATCAAAGGCCTGCTTAAGCTACATAATGAGTTTTAGGCCAAACTAGGCTACAGTCTGAGACCCTAGTCTTAAAACAAACAAAGACCCTCTACCAGGTAGGTCAGTATAAATTTACAGAGAAGAAGCTATTTGATACTCAGCATCCAATGTAGAATAGCTCCTACATGCCAATTAAAAGTTTCAGGGCCAGCAAGATGGTCCAGCTAGTAAACATACTCTCCATCAAGCCCAATGCCATGAGCTCAAACTCCAAGAAACACATAGTAGAAAAACATACTGACCCCTTGCAAATCATCCTCGAATCTCTCTGCACTTGTGACCACACACACTCAAATGTAAAAAATTCAGGATTGGAGAGATGGCTCAGGAGTTAAGAGCAGTTGTTCTAGCAGAGGACCTACATTCCCTTCCCAGAACCCACCTGGTAATCACAGCTGTCTATAACTCCGTTCCAAGAGTTAGAGACATATATGCTCTCTTCTGTCCTCTGTGGGTTCCAGGCACACATATGGTGCACATGCATACATGCAGGCAAACACTCATACAATAAAAATAAATTGTCAGGAATGGTGGTATGCACCTTTAGTTCCAGCACTTGAAAGGCAAAGGTAATCAGATCTCTCTGAGTTGTTCAAGGCCAACCTTGAGTAGGGAGTTTTAGACCAGCCAGAGCTACATAGTGAGACTGTCTCTCAAATAAAGCATGGAGAGATGACTCAGTGGTTAGGAGCACTAGCTGCTATTGCAGAGGACCTGAGATCAGTTCCTAGCACCCACATCAGGTGGCTCACAATGGCCTGTAACTCCAGCTTCAGGGGATTTCACTCCCTCTTCTAGTCTCCGAGGGCACTGCACTGACATGCACAAACCCACACACAGACCAGACAACTGTGTTTTAAAAAAATTCAGGGTCTGAGGTGATAGGTCAGTCAATAAAGTGGTTGCCATGCAAGCACAAAGCCCCGCCTTGTCCCCAGGCATGGAAGCTCACACTTGTAATTCTGGTCTTTGGAGGTAGAGCCAAAAAGACCCCCTAGGGTTCACAAGCACCAGCCACACCTATTGGTCCAGCTCCAGGTCCCAGTGAGATACCCTGTCTGAGAACAAGGGAAGGGCTGGGAGATGGCTTTAGTGGTAAAGAGAGCTTGTTGCCCCACACCTCCCCCCCCACACACACATACAGGGTTTCTCTGAGTAGCCCTGGCTGTCCTGGAACTCACTCTGTAGACCAGGCTGGCCTCAAACTCACAGAGATTCACCTGCCTCTGCCTCAAGAGTGCTGGGATTAAAGGCGTGTGCCACCATGCCTAGTAGCACTTGTTCTTGCAGAGGACCTGAGTTCAGTTCCTTGCATCCACACAGTGGCTCACAACCATCTGTAACTCCAGTTCCAAGAAATCTCTTTGACCTAGGACACCAGGCACACACATTCCTGATAAACTGCACTTGAGGTTACACTCTGTACACACGCACGCACGGAGGAGGGTAAGATTTTCAGACAGCTCATGTGTCATAAAAGCCTACAGTAGCACACACTGATCCCAGCACACACTGATCAGGAGGCAGAGGCAGGAAGATCTACGGGACTTTGAGGCCAGCTTCGTCTACAGAGTGAGACCCTTTCTCTCAAAAGGAAAAAGAGTCGGGGAAAGGCCTATGGCTGGGTGAATTCAATTCTGGAGCTTTGGGCCTGCCAGTGAGCTGTGCAGCTTCTTTGCTGGTTGACATAGTCAAAGAACACAGCCTCTCTGGGACAAGTCTTTTTATCTGCAAAATAGCAATAATAAATTATTTTAGACCCTGGTATAATGGCATGGACTTGAAATCCCTGCATCCAAGAGGGATAGAGAAACTCAACCTAGAGGTCAGCCTGGGCTACCAAGTGAGACTGTATTTCAAAAGAAAGGAGCTAGAGAAATGGCTCAGTGGTTAAAAGCACTGGCTACTCTTTCAGGGGTTCCAGGTTCGGTTCCCAGCATCCACATAGTGGCTGGCAACTGTTTGTAACTCCAGTTCTAGGGAATCTGACACCTTCTGGACTCTGCAGTCACCATACACACATGTAGACAAAACACACACATAAAATAAATATCTATTTTTGTTTTTTTGAGACAGAGTTTTTCTGTGTAACAGCCCTGGATGTCCTGGAACTTGCTCTATAGAACAGGGCTGGCCTCAAACTCACAGAGAGCCTTTGCCTCCCAAATTCTAGGATTAAAGGTATACATCACTACCACCTGGCTAAATAATTTTTAATTAAAGAAAAAAAAAAAGCAACTGGGGTGAGGCTCAATGGCAACTTGCTGGCCCAGCATACCAGTCCTGGCTCCATCACCAGCACCTTAACAATGAAATGTTATGGTAAAAACATGTAATCTCAGCATTCAGGAGGTGGAGACTGGGGATTAGAAATTCAAGGTCATCCTTGGCTACGGAGCAAGGTGGAGGCCAGCCTGGGATACATGAGACTCTCAAAACGAAATCTTAGGGCTGAAAAGATGGCTCGGTGGTTTAGATCGCATATTGCTCTTTCAGAGAACCGGAGTTTGGTTCCCCAGCTCAGGACTACCTGTGGTTCCAACTCCAGGGGATCTGGCACCCTCTTCTGGCTCTGTGGACACCTACACATACATGCACATACCCAAAAATAAAAGTCAAATTCATCTCAAAAAAGAGAGAACATCTCCGCTTCCTAAGTAATTGGGAGTCCTTGGATGACATCAGGACAGGATTCTGTCATATCAACGACAAGCAGGACAATGGCTCGTAATATAGATCTGGCATTACCTCTCTCTGAGGAATAGGGATTGAGAGATGTTCTGCTGTGTCTCCCTGAACACACACACACACACACACACACACACACACACACACACACACAGAGATAAGATGTTTTTCTGTGTCCCCCTCCACACACACACACACACACACACACACACACACTACTGTGGGAGAAAGATGAATGGTTACATTTTGGAGACTAAGTGAAATGAAGTATTTCACACACACACACACACACACACACACACACACACACACACACCCCTACCTCCATCACCACCGCACATGAATGCACGCTGACTACCCTCCTTTCCACCAAGTCCCAGCCCAGCTCTGTCCCTTTGGGGTCTGGGGGCAGCCCAGTGCCTCAGGCTGGCCAGCCTCCCCAGTCACCTCCGGAAGTGAGACAGCATATTCGTCCCGGGGACTAGAACGGGAAGGGCGGCCATTTGGCCAGGCTGGTTTCCTGTGGGGTTTCCCCTACAAAGAGCCCAAGGCTGCGGCCAAGGCCACTCCCATCCTCACACACCAGAGGTCTGTGTCTGGTGTGAAGGGACATTACCACGCAGGTGTCCAGGAGCTGGGACAACCTGTACCAAAAATTGTGCCTCTCTGCCTCATAAGAAGAGGGGACCCAAAGGGGCAGAGGTCAGGCGCTGGAGACCACGGGGAACAGGGCGAGTCTTGGGCTGTGGCCCCCCAGCCGGTGTCTGTACACACAGCCTTCAGGCCCTCGGCATCTCTGGAGGACCCATAGCGGACCCCAAGACGGAACCGGGGCAGAGGCCCCGCGGCGGTCCCCAAGCTTGATCCTCAAATACTTTCCACCCTCGCGCAGCAGCGAGGATCGGAAAATACCGAGGGCTGCACTCCCCGCCCCACCCCGCCCCCGCCCCGGTCACC